CAGTTACTTTTTTTCTGTTTTTGGACATGTGTTGCAATCTTTAATTGTGTTTTCTTGAACATTTTCAGCAGTTATGTGGGTTTTTAATGCCTAAATGGATGTATGTTGCTTAATTGTTAAGCTTACTGAGTGTCTCCTAGTGGATATGATCTGGATATAGGCTTCCCTTTTCATGTATAATGCCTAGCAGCTTGTTTTGGCTCTTGTTCAGATGGTGGGGTATTACAGGATATGCTTGTAGCTTGGCTGTATGAGCACAGTTGCTGTCTCTTCTTGGTTAAGGTATGGGGATAAAGCTCCAACCCCTGGGAAGAGAGTGAGGCCAAAAGAACCAAAGACAGAAACAATACAAAAGCAGAGACAAAAACCAAAATGAAATTGTGTTTGACTGTCCATTGGCCTTTGTTGCGCAAGCAGGGATAAAGGGTCCTGCCCAGGTCAACTTTGGGGCCGGGTCCCAGAGTCAGACATTGTAAGAAGCAGCCTGTGGGTTTCCTCTCTGTGCTGTTGGAAAACTGTGGGTGCAGTGCTGGACCCTTTTGGGAGTGTGCTCTCACCGCCTGAAGGTGTCTGGCCTGGGCAGTAAGGGCACGACTGAAGTAAAGAGGAAAGATAAGTGAAAAAAATGAAAATTAAAAATTAAAAATTAAAAATCAGTTACACCTCTCTCTTCAGACCCACAACTCCACAGCTTTTAGCGCTGGGTCACTGCCTCCACTTGGCTGTCAAGATTTTAATTTTTATTCCATCAATTCCTGGTGCCTTGTTTTCTGCCAATTCCTTCAATGCACCTTGGACTTCCTCCTTCAGTATCATTTGCACTTGATCATATGCTACCTATTGAAACAGTTGAACATCAACCATTTCCTTTTGGTACAGTGACTCTGTATAGTCCCTTCACCATCTTAAATTCAAGCCTTGACTTTCATAATTGAAATCCGTCAATTTACACTAGGTCAAAAGACCAGTTTGGGCATTCTCAAAGAACCTAGACAGTGCTGTTTTTAAATGTTCCACTGTTTCCTAACATTATCTTCATTACCCTGGTCTTGCCGAAAAGACTGATGGGAAATGTTCACTGTGCGGACTGACCATAATGCTTTTTGATGCCCTTTAGGCTAAAAGCTTGATTGAGGCCAAGATGTTTGCTTAAAATTAAAAATGCTGAACCATGTGAGATCTCACCTTCAGCAGCTCTCACTTTCATACTAACTGTACAATTGCCTCCCACCAGTTTCTAGACTTCAGTCAGTTTCTTGTAGATATTGATGGTTTTTCCTTTTTTGGCTTGTCTTTGAGGCCTTCATGACCTTCCTTGACATGCTTGATCCATTTAGAAACTGTTGCTTTAGGTGGGGCAGCATTTCCATAAGTTTCATTGATTTGGAGAGATGTCCACTTGAGTTTAGTTAAAAATTTGATATTAGCCCTGACCTCGAAATTGTTTTTTACCGTGGCACAAAAAATCCTTTATTTGAAGGCACTGTAATGTGCTAAGACAGTGTTTTACTGAGAGAATTTGTCTGCAGTCACCCACTGATTGGTGTATTAATGATGGTCCAATTTAGAACTCTTGTAGCAATACTTTTTGACTTACCCTCATACAAACTGTGAGATTTTAAACTTGCGACAAGGGACAGGTAGAATATCTACTCATTATAATGAAACCCTCACTTAAGCTGTGAGCCACAAGCATTTAAAATCCGTGAACTTTCAGCTAGTCATCTTTTGCCAGCCTGATCTCTACAAGGAACTGGTCACCCTGTAGTTGAATTACTTCTCCATATTCCGGATGCTCAATTATAGTACCATTGCAGGCAAATTTCTTCTTAAACACCTTCACTAGTTTCTTTTTATCATAATCATCAGCGATCCCTTTGAATTCTTATATGGATATAATCCTTGGTCCCAGCAGGAAGCAAGTCATCACACTTATTTGCATCAGCAAAAGGGTCAAAAGAGTGAAGGTTCTGGATTGCAGGCATTTTATTCCTTTTCCTCAGTGGAAGCAACCTGTGGCAGGTAGCTGCCCAAGAAGGAAGGCGGGAGGAAACTAGGAGCGAAGCGCTGAGTTCTAAATGTCGACTCAGTCACTGGACTGTGGAAGACTTTGAAGTGTAATTTTTTTGGAATTCCTTATCAGTTAGTTCCAGTGTCATTTATTCCACCAGAAGATTTTTAAGCCCTGCATTTTGGCTACTTGCATTGATCACCTTGTCCTGTTTATTTTTTTAAAGTTTTTATTGTGAATTGAGTGACAGTTTACAGGGCAGGTAGTCAGTTTTACATTCAACAAATCATACACCTTGTTTCATTACAATGAATATAATCCCCTTCAGGTACCATCAGTTAACAGTATTTCTCTCTCTTCCCTTTAGATCTTGTTTGTGATTTTTTTTTAAACACTCAGGCATCTATAGTAATTTATACCACCAAAGGGCACCTTTTGCAAGTCTGACTCTGCAAGTCTACCTACTGGCTGCTAGCTCTTAGTCCCACTCTTTCCATGAATCTAGACTCATCAGATGCTTTTTCTCTCCATGTCCCCATCTCTACCTGCATCTGTGGTGTTGCTGCTTCTCTGGATATGGTCCCCCATTCCGCTGGTGCGCTTCTCCCTTGATGTTCCTAGGGTCCTTTGTTTATGGACTGTGCATTTAACTACTCCCCAATTTTGTTACAAAACGTGTACCTTTGCAATTGTGACAGTCATGATAACTACTATTCACTATTGAATTGTAAGAATCTTACCTCCATCTCTTTTTATCAGACCCATCTAGATAAGATGAAAACTATTCAGTGGGGACTCTATCTTCCCTCACACACGTAAACTAATCTCCCTCATGAAATCTTTTAAGCCAATCACTTCATGCCTCCATCGTCTCCTCGTTTTAGGTAGCCAATATCTAAGTTCCCCGTCCCTATCTACCCTGTGTACAGAGGGGATAGCATTGATACTTGATTTGAAGACTCCTTCCTTCTCTGTTGCTATTTGGAGTTTCTGCCTCCATGAGTATAGGTCAAGTTCATCAAATTGTAACAATTTACCCTCGTTTCCTTTATTCATTTTTTTTTTAAATCTTCCTCCAGTTGAGTTCTGATTATCAAGCCATCAAGGCTGGGTCAAATGGGTACTAGCTGCAAGTTTGGGTGTTCTTATGCATCTTCCCTCAATTCATATCAGCTGGATGCTTCATTCTCAGCTCTAGCCCTCTATGGCTGTGTCCTTGTCTATGGGCTCAGGTGTCCCCAGGTCTCACCACACTTCCTACCAACCAGCCTTCCTCTTCTCTCTTTCATCTCCAGGTCACGGGAGTCTATGGAACGTGGTTGAACTCAGCCCATTTCTTTATTGCTGCTTTTCTCCTTCTTCCACTCACCAGTAGACCAATGTGGTCATCAGCAAACTTACATGCCTGCTCATTCATTCCCATTGAGTTTCAGTCTTAAAGGTTGGGGGGGGGGGGGCGGGGAGGTTGTCCTGAAGCAACTTGATTGCTTGCCTTGATGGCTTCCTGGTGAACAACTTGCTTATTCTTGTAGTAGGCAGTCATACTGCCATTTTTCTTTTGGGGTTTTCCTGAGGATCTTTCTCTGAAGATGTATCTTCTGACACTCTAGCTGTTCCAGGCTGGTCTGCTTGTCCTTTCTAGTGGGAGTGTCCCACCTCAGAAGGTTCTGGATGGGGCTTAGGGTTCCGCCTAAGGCCCTGTACACTTCAAAGGATCCACAAGAGGCCTATTTCACTGGGCAAGTTCTAGAATCCCTTTTAGATATTCCAATCAATTATAGGCTAAAGACAGGCTTACAAGAATTCTGCAATTATGTTTCCTGACATTCCTTTCTATCCAACTCTTGTTTCAATTTTATAGTAGTAGGCAAGGGAAACCAATATTCATAAGACAATCAAGCATGTTAGTTACTATTTCCCCTCTTCAGACTATGCCTTGGTTTCTGTATCACAGAGCCCTGTTGTTCACAGGTTGAGCATGCATCACTATTTACCTCTGTCCCATTTAGCCCATGCAAACCTGTCTCAGCGTTCCCCTGTCGACCTTGTTCTTCTACCCCTCCCCTTCTTGTGTATTGCCTTCCCCAACACCTGAACTATGATGTGTCTGCCCCCGACCCTGTGCTCTACCATTGCCTCCCTCCACCTCCCCCTAATCCCCAATCCCTTCAGTAACCAACAAAGAATTTTTCTTCTCCCTTTTAGTATGGGTATCTTTTCTTAAGCTTTTATAATACTGGTCTTATGCAATATTGGCCCTTTTGTGACTAATTTCACTCAACATAATGTCCTCAAGGTTCATCCATCTTATATGGTGGCTTGTAGCTTCCTTGTTATTCTATATGACCATGTGGTTCTTTTCCCTTTTCTTATTTATAGAGTGGGTTACATTGGTAGTTTTCCTGATGTTGAACTCTTTTATATCCCTGATATGAATCCCTCTTGGTCATGATGTATTATTTTTTTCTTGATGTGTTGTTGAATTTTGTTGGTTAGGATTTTGTTGAGAATTTTTGCATCTATGTTCATGAGGGATATTGATCTATAATTTTCTTTCTTAGTGACATCCTTCCTTGGTTTTGCTATGAGGGTTATGACTTACTTCTTAGAAAGTATTAGGGAGTTAACCATCCTCTTCTATCCTTTGACTGTTAATCTGTTTTTGTGTCTGTGTATAAGAAGTCTCTTGCTGACAGCATATTGAAGGATCTTGTTTTCTTATAAATTCTGCCACCCTCCATCTCTTAACTGGTGCATTTAATCTGTTTACATTCAGTGTAATTATCGATAGGTATGGATTAATTAACAAGACACCAGGAATTGAAGGAATACAAATTGAAATCTTTCAAATAAGTTAGGTGGCACAGAAGGCACTCACTCATCTCTGCCAAGAAATTTGGAAGACGACTGTCCTTTAGTTTTGTGGAAGCTGATGTCCATGGTTATTTTTCTTCCTCTTGCTTAACTTTTTTAATCAATCAATTTGCAGGTTATTGAAGCAAACCTAAATGGAGAATTGAACTTGAAAATAGAAACTGAATTAGTGTGTGTTACAACTCATTTTAAAGATCTTGGAAGTCCCCAATTAGGTAAGTTTTCAGTGGGTTAGATTTTGCTTTTGATAAAAATTAAATGTTTCATATAACATACCTTAATGCTGTCTCTAAATGTAAAGGCAAAAACAAAGAAGCAAAATACAGAGTCTTGGTGGCCCTGTAGGAAGAAAGCACTGGAATTGTAACCATCAGCCAATCTGCTGGAGAAAGAGAAACACTTTCTGCTCATGTACCAATGTACAGCCTCCGAAACCCTATCCTGGGTCACTATGAGTCAGACACAACTGAACGGCAGTGGGTTTAAATGGAAAAAGTTGGAAATTTGAGCTCTGGTAATGTTATGGTTACAAGTCAGGCTGCTAATCTCAAGGTCATTTAGAAACTACCAGCGGTTCTAGGGGAGAAAGATGAGGCTTTCTGCTCCTGTAAAGATTTACAGCCTCGGAAACCCTGTGCAGGCTCACTGTGAGTAGGAACCAACTTCACGACACCTCACCATCACCACCAGTTTTATGCCGAGGGAGAGGACAAAATAATTGAGATGGAATTACCTGCCATGGCACAGTGGAAAGTTAGGCTATGTGGGTATAGCAGTCACTAAGTGACTGAGGGCGCCTGGTGTGATGCGGTAGGATCTGCGCATGATGGGCAACCTCAGGTCAAACCTTCTAGCCGCTCTTTGGAAACCCTTAAGGGTCACTATGAGTTGGAACTGACTCAATAGCATTCAGCAACAAGAAGTGGCTAAATGACTGGCGTAGGAGCTCTTTCCTCATTTATAAAATGAAGAGCCAAGCTTAATCATCTAGATTGCTCTTAGTGGTTAAGGTCCAGTTTCTGCTAAGAATAATTTCAAAGCTAAAATTTAGCGTTTTCTTTTACTTTCGACACTTTCAATACTTATAAAATTTAGCTTAGCAGATACAAAGTTGATCAGACATACATTTTCATCCCATATAAGTCAGTTCAGGAACTAGTAAGAGATGGACACATTCTGCAATGAGGTCAGAGATACTGGGCTCATGTGCTACAGAGGACAGAGCAGTTAAAGGAGACTCACATAGTAGCAGTGGGAAAGGACAGGGGATAGTGTATTTGCTGATGATGTGAAAATTATTTCATGATGCACATTTGCTCTGAAACAGACATAATGGACCCCAGGGACTTTTAGAATTAATATTTAGTGCTAAAAGTTTTCTTGAAAATGAACACAAATTTTAATAGTACAGTAAGTGATTTTTACTGTATACTAAAGCTTTCCTTTATATAAAGGTTTAGTTGATACTAAAGTTTTGTAGTTTTTATTGCTCCAGCAAAGTGAAGGTCCTATTACTAAGACTCTATATTTGTTTAAAATGACTTGTTTGGGTATTAACTCGTTTTATTTTACTAAATACAAGGAAGTTCTTATATACTGTACTTACCTGGAACTTGAAGGGATGCTTTTCTTTTTTCTTTACTCTACTTTCCAATGAAAGACCTTTTCAGAGCTATTATAAATCTAAAGATCTTAAATTTACGTTGTTGTTGTTAAGTGCCATAGAGTTGGTTCTGACTCATAGCAACCCTGTGTAAGAG